TAAGTAGTGATTTGAACAGTCAACAGGTTTTTCATGGGTCTCATACATAACTCAAGGAAGTTAACTCTTTTTATGTTTATTAGGTATAAATCAAGCCAGGATTTAAATGACTGCCATCATATACTCTGATTCTGAAACAGTTCGTTTCCTAAACAAGGTGTTTGGTTAGCAGGTCCCCACTTGTTGTACTGGACAGGACAAATTTTGCATAAGAGAAAAAGGGTGGACAGTGGAGGGACTGGCTTTACTTTGGAAAGTATGGGAAGGAGTAAATTGAAACCACACAGACCCTCGTGCCAGGACCTATTAATTAGTCATGAGGACTGTACAGTGAAGGCATCACAACTACAGTGAGGTGGAAAGATGGATGGGAGTCAGAGGGTAAGAGCAGCTGCTTGCCCGGGTCTCCCTTGAGGAGTCATCAGCAAGTGGTTCCTGGAGATAAGTGGAGCCTGGGGGTCAGTAAGTCTCTGATTCTTGTGTCTAGTGCATTGGATTTTGAGTTTATTTTCTTAACAATTTACAATCTTATTTCATCTTCTGCGCATCACTTTTCATTTGCAGAACCTAGTATTGTGAAAGATCTCCATGTGGAATGTGGGGGCTGTTGAACAAACTCTAACTATAGTTGTGGGTCACAGGGCAGGGAATGCTTGAGAGGAACCAAACTACTGTGCCCTATCTCCTTAAGTATTTAAAATTAAGTTTCCAAACAGTACATTCTGTACTTTATCTACCACATGGGCACTAGGCAGTTAGACTTTCAGAAAACTCCTGGATTGGCTGCTAGCTAGAGAGTGACTAGAATGAGTGATGGACACTATGTCCCATGACCTTCCTATTGTCGTTTGGCTCATTAAAATTTTCCTTTGCTGATAATCTGTAAGTAAATACAAGAAAATATCTCTGTATTTCACTGAGCCCTGGGTACAGATTGAGCCATCTACTGTACAATGCTGTTATTTCGTATACTACTTAACCAGCTGTCAACAGAACCTCTTTATTCTGGTCCCCATGCCTCCCAGTTGTAAAGAGAGTGTGCTTTCTTCACCACATACTAGAACTTTCTGTCTAGATGGAACTGTGTGTTGAGTATTGAAGTCAGTAGCTTAACTACTACCGTTGACAGTGTGATCTTTTTTTTAATAAAAGCAACTCATGGTTTTAATATTAGTTAATTAGTAATAAGAATCTATGCAGAACATGTAAAATATACCATTCTTATAGCGTATGATTTGAGGCAAAATGTTTGGATTTTCATCTTATGGTTAAATATTAGAAATTCAAACACTATTTTCAATGTAATATAATAAAATTTATACCTGGGATCTAGAGATCTAGTCCTGAAGTCCTCCCATACCCATCTCTTTGTAATCCAAGATGAAAAAAGACGAACAAAAGAGTATGTCTACCACAAATGGATGTAAAGAAGAATTACCAGATGGTAATCCAAAAAGGCACCTGTAGTCAGGAAAGCAGAGCAAGAGAAGCCAGTGGGGTTCTCAGAGCCCAGAACACTGTGGGTCTCCAGAGAGACAACTTAATGGGGAGGTCAGGAAATGAAGCCTGTGGATTGTAGAAGACTTTTCCAGCATCTGAGAGACCATAGTGAGAAGAGGGGCAATCTATGAAGAGCATAGGACTTGTACATGGCAGAAGTTCTGAACACAAGGCAAGCAAGACATGTGTCCATTGCCTGTAGGTCTCTTGTCATGACTGGGTCTCAGCAGTTGACTCTTGCTGTGTTAGCAACGAGTCTTTGGATCAGATTGAAGGCAAATAACTGCCAGTACAACACTCTTTGCTTCAACTGATAGGTGTAATAACTTACCTCAGTTAGGTTGCCATCTCTACTAGTATTTTCTTGAGGAGCCTTCAGGGGGCATTGTGATCAGAGAGAGTTGATATGATCCCCAAACGCTTTGCCACACTCTAAAAATAATGTTCTAAGAACTTTGCCAAGCAGACAGATGAATGTGTGTGTGTGTGTGTCATTTAGGGTTTGCGTTGAGGTGAGCAAAACTGAAAGTGACAGGTGTGAAATGTACCTGGGATGTGGGACAAATAGGTTTCTAAAGACTTTGCCAGCTATCATGTGTTATTTCGATAAGTTTGACTTATTTTGAGTGTATGTGTGTGTGTGTGTGTGTGTGTGTGTGTGTGTGTGTGTGTGTGCGTGCACAAGTGTGATCGAGAAAGAGACAGCCTGCATGAGGGCAGCACATGCATGCAGGAGTCTTCAGAAGCCAGAAGTAGGTTTTGGGGTTCCCTCAACTGGAGTTAGAGGCTATTGTGAGCCCCATGTGATTGCTATGAAGTGAACAGTGAGTTCTTTGCTGTCATCTCTCCAGTACTGAGTCTGAATTTGGGGGACAGAGAGTGGGGGTAGAATCCAAATGCTTATCCACTTTATAGGAGAGTAGATAAGAGTGACAAATACTTATAGTTTTGGGGATGAACCCTTGAAAGGGAACAGGGACAACCTGTGACTGTCCAGCAAGCTGTTTACTGCTAGCAGGTCCCAGGCTCTGGGTTGTGCAAGATTCCTCAGAGACCCACTTTGTACTGAAGTCACATGGCTGTGCTATGTTAGCCTGGCCACCCCAGTTACCTCCCAGATTTATAGAAAGAGGAGTTTGGATCTGACCATGAGGGCAGATGGCTCTTGTTATATGGCCTCTAACAGTCAGTCCTAATCACACAGGACAAACTTTATCACTGAGTTCCAGTGCCACACCCTCCACCCTGCCCCCATCTTCCAGGCCCATCCTTGGTCCTCTTGACCTATTATTTCTAATCAATTATAGTTTGAAATGAAATCTAGTTTCTACCTCTTGAAATAGTTTCTGTGGCTGGCCCTTTTGGATGTTTATCATTTTATTTATTCATTTATTTTTTGAGTTCTTAAGTCCTGGCCAACCATTTCCCAAGACACTTGAGTAGATTGAGTTCAGTGACAAGTGAGTAGTGATGTCAAGGAAAATTCATGCTTCTGGGTAGAGAATCTTCCCATCTCCGGGACAGGGTTCCTCTGGGGCTGTGAGAAGTAGCTCAGGTGAGAGCCTAGCATTCAGGTCCTGGCCTCTGAGTGTTAGGTTGTTCCCAGCTTCTGAGAACAAGGGTTGCTCCTCTGTTTGTCTCATTGGGAACCAACTGATTTCTAACATGTGAATCACACCTGAATTATATAATGAAAAGTGGCAATTTGAAAAGGGAAGAAATTTACTTCTATTTATACCATATACCATTGTTTGTTTGTTTTGCTTTTAATTTATCTCCTACTTCTGTGTGTCATGTCTCATTATCTGAGTGGTTGTTCTGATTATGTAACCATCCACTAGTGACTTGACAGCCTAGTCTGTGACATTTGTGTGTTATGACCATGTCCCATGTAACTGAGGCTCAACACTGATATCCTTGGGGCCAGGCACTGAAAATCCCAGTGGAGTAGTTCCCAAGGAAAACTCCCTTCCCATTTCTAGCTGTTTTCTTCTTTTTTGGAACTTTTAGAAATTCTCTCTCTGCACTGGTTTTTGGTTGGATAGAGGTCCCAACATGAAGCTATTTTTCCTCTGTACCTTTCTTTTTTTTTTTTTGGGATGAGGTCTCTCTACATAGCCCTGGGTGTTCTGGAACTCACTGTGTAGACCAAGCTAGCATTGAACTCACGGAGATCTGCCTGCCTCTGCCTCCAGAGTGATGAGATCAAAGGCGTGAACTGCCATTTCCAGAACTTCTATATCTCTATATCTTTCTTGATACTTTCTTCCTAAATGTTGTTTTCACTTACCACCTTGGCATTGATTCGTTGTTCTGACACCCTATTCCTGGGCACCTCCTACCAGAGCCATGCACACCACCTGGTTATGAGGCTCTTAGCCCCACCCGCAGCATCCCTTCCTGATAGGTGGGACAGATGCTGCAGGAGGGCTGAGATCAACCCCTTCATTTAGAGGCAAATACCTTTCAGCATCTTGAAAAGAAGGATTAGACCAGGTTGTATCCTCTTGCAACCTCCACAGCCACTCCCTGTCAGTCCTGGGCATAGTGTACGGTGTTTATTTCCTGTCAGTCCTGGCATAGTGTATGGTGTTTACTCCCCGTCTGTCCTGGGCATTGCGTTTGGCTTTCCCTCAGCTCAGAAACAGCAGACTCCACAAGTCCTTGCTACCCATTGTCCAGACACTCAGCCGGAAATCTGAGTCTGCTCTCAGGACTCTGCACTAGGTCCCCAGGAGTTCAAATAATAACCTAATGGCCTCTGGTCTGCACTGAGCACCTCCTGACAGGGACTCTTTGAGTGACAGAACACACAGATGGGCAAGAGCAACTTACCTAGGATGAGGCAGCACTCCTTGTTTCTAAATTTCAAGTGCCTTCTCAGCCTAGCTGTTGGCTGAGCTAGAGGCTTTGCACACGGTACACACACAGCGTCCCAAGCCCGAGATTTGATGAGAGGAGCAAAGGTCAAATAGCATGCTGGGGAGCACAAACATAAATACACATGCCAGGCTCACACAGGCAAAGACTATGCACTTAATTTTGGGTCTCTTGCAAATTCCAATCTTTTCAACTTCAGCTTTGGTGCTCTTCCGAATGTCCAGTGCCTGTCAGAGTTTCCTTAAGTCTTGTCTAATTCATCCTAGTGATGTCTTGATTTGAAAAATCCTTGACTAAATGAGGTTAAATACCTGGAACCAGGTTCCTCTACACCTGTTCACAAGTGACTGTAAATCAGTGCAGTGCATGTGGAAATGACACCATGCGGATTACAGTCCAGACTGGATCTAAGCATTTTGTAGTATTTGATTGGATGCATATGTACATGAGAACTCAGAGCTGTTTGGCTCTTCCTGGTTCTGACAGTGTGTCACAGCTATTTTCTTAAGTTGTCCATCTTTCGCTTTTGTAAGAATAACTGATGAAATCTTACTTTTCATGTCACATGTCACTGATGACTATGTTCTCTCTGTCTCTCTCTTTTATTTTTTTTTTTTTAGGAAAGTATGCCACAGACACCTCCCTTTTCAGCAATGTTTGACAGCAGTGGTTACAACCGAAACCTCTACCAGTCTTCAGAGGACAGCTGTGGAGGCTTGTGTTACCATGACAACAACCTCCTTTCTGGATCTCTGGAGGCACTTATCCAGCACTTAGTACCCAACGTGGAATACTATCCAGATGTAGGTATCGGTGTTCTTCTGGAACCCATTTTTTGGTATGGATTAGCAATTGTAGTGTGCTATGCAGGGATACTGTCCTTGCTGTGGAGTTGCCTTGGTTGCCAAGAATTTTTTCCAAGGAGAAATTATATAGTAATGATTGAAAGTTCTGAGACCAAAACTGAGCCTGGGGATGGGTCAGATTGTGGCCAAGTTACCACATCTGATTCCTTTTGGGTTGTCCACCACATTTTAGGCAGCCTAAATGAAGAGGTATCTGTAGACTTGATCCTTGCCTACATCTTGTTCCATAAACGAAAATGCAATTAGAGAGAGTACTGGCGCTCCTATCATATGACATTAATGTAAGGAGCGAAAGTACACGAGAGAGATAAGTTACACAAAGATGCAGCGATTTGTAGATTGGACATCCATCGGTTGGTGTTGGCTTCACTTTTGCTTTCCCTTGAGAGCCTACATTTGTACAAATGGCACTTTCAAGCCTGGGAAAGGCGCTGTATATTATCTTAGTCTTCCTTGTTCCCAGAGGTGAGAGGGGAGACAATGGAAACTCAACACCACTCGTTGATTCCTCTTAGTATCAGCAGCCAAACCAGGTTTCCTTTCTGAGCCAAGTGAGTTCCCCTCCCCTCTTGGGTCTATTGAGCCGAATTCAGAAGGACAAGAAGGTTGAATTTAGTGGGCAGCTGTTTATTGATGGCGAGTTCATAGAAATACCTAGAGAACACATTTATTAGTTTTTATAAATGCAATAATAACCTTGTTGTGCAAAGGAGAGCACGTGTTTGCTAACGGTAGTTCGCCATCATGCTCCTTACCGAGTTATCTCTGTGTGATTCAGTACGTAGCCTTTTCAGGTATGTTCCCACACAGGGAAATCTTGCTATCAAAAGTAAAAGGAACCCCTTGTTCAGTACTGTAAGTGTTTATGAACCACTGAAGGTGCCTAAGGAGGGCTGGGGGAAGCAAACAACCCATGGAATTCCTCTTTTCACTGAGAGCCCGAAACTGTTAGAACAAATAAACACTGCCTTGTTACTGGCTTCTTGGGAGACAATGTGGTTACAGAAAGTATATAGTGTTAATTGTGCTTCACCGAACTGCTTAGCCTTGAGCAAGCGGTAAGTCAGCTAAAAGTCAGCCTTCAGTTGTTGTGACACAAACACTGGGTACGCTATACAGAGCACACTGGACAACTCTTGTCTGAATGTGGGTAGGATGGGTGGGTGGGTGGGTTTTTGTTTCTTAGATATTTCGTTTTGTTTTTAGTATGTGTGGACACATAGCATTATTCAATGTGGGCAACATATTTAAGCCAGTCTTGCTTCTCTGGCCTGAATTCCATTCTTCTTGATTACACTGGGAAATGAATATGTCCTGGCTCCCTAATGACACACAGATAAGAAAATGTCCTCTGGATCATTTCAGGAGTAGACTTTATTCTGTTACATTTTAGTATGTTTTAAGGGGAGAGATAAGGTGGTGAGGGAGGAGAATTATCTTATGTTGTTTCACTAGCAGGCATTTACCAGAAGCCCCAGCCTCTTAACTTGGATGTATAGGAAGATTATGACATGCAGGGATGGTACAGATTCAGAGAGAGTGTAACCATGATGACTTCCTTTCTCTTGCTGCAGAGAACATACATATTCACCTTCCTGCTAAGTTCTCGGTTATTCATGCATCCTTACGAACTAATGGCCAAAGTCTGCCACTTGTGTGTTGAGCATCAGCGGCTGAGTGAAGGGGATAGTGACAAGGTAATGTGACATTTCAATTTAAGGTCTGCTAGCTGATGATGGTTTCCATAAGGGAACCTAGCTCCAGGCTGACGTGCTTAAGTGGCAAAGTGGCCATGCGAATGGCATTGGGGGAGTGTAAGGACTGTGGTACAGGCCTGTAGGAGTTATTCAGTGATGGAATGGTTGCTTTCTATGTGTAAGGCCCTAGGATAGATCCCTGGCACTGAAAAATAAAGTGAAATAAACCAAAGAGCAGTGAGCAGTAGCAGAGGACCCCTCCATCCTGCCATTGTTAACTGTGCCTGGCATTAATATTGAGGTGGTTGTAGCTCCTGCTTCTACGCAGAGAATGTGCACCACCAGAAGTTAGTCAGTAATCCAGTTATTTGGTGACACAGTTATTTGGTTGCTTATTTAATGCAGACCATGGTGGTGGATATCTCTGACTTAGATTTCTTTTTCTCCCTAGAACCAGATGAGAAAAATTACACCTAAAATTCTTCAACTCCTCACGGAGTGGACGGAAACATTTCCTTATGACTTCCGGGATGAGAGGATGATGAGGAACCTGAAAGACCTGGCGCACAGGATGGCCAGCGGCGAGGAGGTTGGTCACGGGAATTTAGTAAAGCCAGTGGAGTTTCCAGATGGAGTTGGCTGGGAAGCCGGACTGAATTGCCCCAGAACTCAGTGCTGCCTTCCTATTTTGCCTTCGGACAGCCCTTTACATAGCATAGATTAGCCTTTTTGGTGTGTCACATGGGGGAGGATTATTCCATCCCACTTCCAGTGAGTGTGATCTGGAGTTTTATGTTGTTATTTCTGGCTGTGTTCATGTTCATTCACGATGCCGGGTGCATCTTTATTTCATTTGGCTTCAGTCTGCCTTCTACAAAGGTGTGGCCTAGTTCACATATTAATTCTGCCTTCACTTATAGTAGATATAACTAAATAGCACATTAATAACTCATAAGTAAAAATAGACAGTCCAGACGGTGAAGGGGAAAGCACATAAGCCAGTGTTGAGAGCTAGAGCAGCAGGAAAGGACTGCTGTGATTGTTCCATTATAGATAAAAGGGAAATATAGTTGGTTACATAATTTTCAGGGGAAGTTATAAAACATGCTAGTGGTTCCAGGCATTAAATGAAAAACTTAGACACTTGGGGCTAGTAGAACGTTTGCCTGGCATACATAAGGCAGTGCGATGATGAATACAACAAACACAACAGAAGACAAACCTTCTTAGGAGGGATTTTGCATCGGAGGCTTAGCTTGCTCTTTTACAGAGTTTACAGTGGACAGGGCTGTATACTTAACAAAGGTAATTCTTGGGGCTGGGATGTCTGGACTTGGGAGTGGTACAAGTACTCTGGTACTGGAACTTGATTCAAGGCTGGCACTTAGAACAAGTGGAGATTTAAAGCAGGTCTCTTAGGTCATCCTCTGTAAATATCACTTCTGTCAACTGAGCCTTTGATAGCAGTCGCTAACCAGCTTCAACAGATTCGAAGTTATCTGAAGCAGGCCTGGAGGGCTAACTTTGTGTGTTGAGGCTTGCTGGACTAGGACATGTTTGTAGTTTCCCTGTGGCAGATAAGCGTTTGGGAACAAGTTTGGCACCATGTTGCACTGTCACCTAGAGAAAGGTAGCTGAAGTACCTGGCAGTGCAGGGGTGTCCTGCCCATTGACACACTGTCCCTCCCTCCATGACAGCTCACTGGAGAAGGGTTCTCTCAGCTCTGTGCTACAGAGGCAAGAGCTCGAGACATCTGTCCTGATTAATGCAAATATTCATACTGCCATTTTCCTAAGCTGAGATCAGTGAAATTAAGCACGCAGCTCATAAGAGCTCTGCCCTTAGCTGTTTTGGGTGGCTTTCAACTCAGGAGTTAGCGCTTTCCCTGTGGCTTTGTGACATCAGGTGGAACTCCCTGCTGTTGAGAGTATACAGTCTTCTTGTCCATTTGCCTGTCTTAGCTTCTTCCTCCGTGAAGGAACTCCCACAAAGATGGAAGTCCACCACTGTAGCCTTGCTATGTGCTTTCTATCATGGGTGACTGCCACTGGCTGCTTGGCAGGCTCAGTGTTGGCTCAGCGGCGTTGGTTTGTGACAAACTGATCAAAGAAGGAGTGGCATCCTGGAGCTGTTTCTTGTTTGAAGGCGAGGACCTGAGTCATGATCAATTTTTCAGTTTTTCAGTTCAGTTCAATTATACAGAGCTGTTGATACTGCTGGCTAATTGTTGACTGTTGCTTTTTTAGAGGTAGAAATTAGAAACCATAACCTGTTTCTTCCCAATAGGAACACTTGAGTTTTAAAGTTATTTGAAAATGCCATGTTGATGGCTTTTGGTCTTTCCTATCATGGAAATCAAAGATGGTGATCCATTCTATTTGTTTGCTAGTTTATAAAAAGATCTGTTCTTTATAAAAAAGGTCAAGCCTTCAGGAACTGGGTGAAAGGGTCAGACAGCCTTGGGTTAATAACCTATCCCTTGCACACCATGGGAGGTCAGCTGGCTTTGAAGATGACAGGGCATGAGAAAGTGTTACTAGGGAAGAAAAATTTACTTAGGAATATGTTGAACTTGGTTGGGTACGTGTCTGCCTTGACTGGCCAGGGCTTCACAGGAAGCTTTTTTTTTTTTTTTTTTTTTTTTTTTTTTGTCTGCTTCTATCCAGAATTTAGGAATTGGGTCCACACATCATAGTTGCTTGAGTTGAGTGTGCTCTGGCTCACCCACTAAATTCCTAGCTCCTTTCCTATCACCATAAATCATGACACTAACGGCCTTGAGTTAATGCAGAAGAGGCTCCCGCTGCATTTATTATCTTGGCAGTTTCCTTCCTATCATGTTAAATCTCTCATCTCAGAGAGACCTTCCACAACTCTAGTCACAGTCCCCTAAACCCCCCAATTCTTGGCTTCTGTGCCTTTTGTTTCATAGGACTGTGGGATCTGTACTTAATTGTTGGTCGCTCCGCTGGACTTTAGGTTATGCCCACTTTGCTCTCTCTGGCATCTTGAACTCCCATCTGAATGCCTGGCATGTCGTTGGTTCTCATAGCATTTGAACAGATGAATGAATGAATGAATGAATGAGAGAAGAAATGAACAGATGAATTAGGAAGTCAATTATGAGAATACGGGGAAGCTTATCCCTCCCAGTGGAAGAAGCCTGGGTTTGAACTGGGGCCTGTTGCTTCTTGCCTCTGACTGCAGGGAAGTGTTTTTGGCACCGGGTGAACCCAGGTGTGCCCTGTATATGATTTAGTCTGGTTCTTCAGAATCTGCTAGGACAGTTCCACATAATTTGGTTTAATATGCTTCTCCCCTGGGGGATTTGCCCCAAATAAAGTGGTTTATTAGGACTTGCCTGGAAGAAACATGAAATGAAACTAATGATTGAATTACATGACAAATGACTGGAGTGGATAGAATGCAATTTTCTCTTCCTTAAGGGGCTGGTCTCTATAATAAGAACTTCTGTCTTTATTTGCCAGGTAATTACTGTCTCTGGCAACTGAAGTTATAAAAAAGAATAAGTACATATTTAGCAGTGCATGACTCAGTGAGGAAGCATGCTTAACTACATAGAACCCGGTTTCTCAAATGGAATCAGACGAAAGCAGGAGACTTGGAAAAGGGTCACAGTGCCCCCTCTCTCCATCTTTCTCTCTCCACACACCAGTTCCAATATACCCCATGGTGTACTTTCTTGCATTATGTCTTGCTATTGCTTTTGCTCACAAGTGATTAGTGACAATTCCTTCACCCCTTCCTGAAAATAATACTTTGTAGTGGGGAATACAAATCTTTCACCTGATAGACTTGAAGCGAGCTCTGTTTCTTACCCATTGCTGCCTGTCAGAATCACCTGAGGTGCACGCTCACTGCGCTATCCAGATTGTCCTCACTCATGCTCAGTCAGCATCCTCCATGTGGGACCCAGGCTGCAGGCTGTCGCTACTCAGCCCTTTGTTTTGTGCACCGCTACTCTGCTGGGGCCTCCAGGTGATGACCTGAAGAAAAGTGGCCATTACTACCAAAGTCTCTTGGGTTAGGGACCCTGAGAAGGAAGACGTGAGGTGTAAGATGTAGAAATAACTCATTCAATATGTAAAATAGTGGACATTTTAAAGATGAGTTTTTGCTTTTCCAAGTGAAAAAGAATTTTTCTACACATGCCTCATACATATGGTATCCGAGAAATACCAGTGGATGGACTTTCACTTTATAAATCAAGTAGTGTAGCAATCAAAGTAAAAATACCAATCCTACTCTGAACATCACCAAGTGGTGTTAGTTTTGTGTGTATCCTCCCAGAATGCATCCTTGGCATGTATGTATCTATATATGGCTATATACACCCATAGAAATTGTGGACTTAGAAAATTTAGTTTTGTTTAGAAATGTTTGGACCCATATGTCTCTTAGCTACACCATACTGTTCTTCATATTTAGTTATGACAGTTGTTGGTTACTCTTGCAAATAGGCTTTAATGACTATAAAAATGTAACCTTATAATGTGTTTTCTACTCTGGATGGTACATGAAGAGTAATATGTTGGGAACTATTTGCATAGTTTTAAGACGTAGCATGTGGGCATTTGTAAGGACATTAGGTACAGAAGACTGAAGTAAACACAAGTGAGTTTTACCGCATCTCAGCGTTTCTAAGGAATGTGAGGTTGGGGCGCAGATGAAGTAGCACATTACTTAGCCATGACTGGTTTGGGTACCAAAGGAAGACACGTTACCAACAGTAACATTATTCCTAGATGGGAGAAAGGCTATTTAAAGGTGGTTTTGGGTGGGGTAGATTTAGTGGGGTAGGGAGTGGTTCTTAAGTATCTCAGGCTAGTCCCAAACACACTACAGAGCTGAGGTTGACTTTGAACTCCTGGTCCTCGTGCTCTGCTTACTCTGTGAGTGTGGAGAAAAACAAAGGTTATGTAATAGGCATATTTAAGAGATTGTTTGACTGTCATTGCCAGGTAGAGAGGAAAAAAAGATTTAGAAGCCAGTGGTTGGTTTTAACCCCTGCTGACTTGAGAATTAGCAGTATTCAGATATGTAATTTTCTTACTGTCAACAGCTATGTGTGTTAAACATACTCTAAGCCAAATGAGAAAAAAGTTAATTTTTATACTTTTTAGATTTACAATATTCAAATTGCTAGTCTTGGCAGATGGCACTGAGTACCTTTAAAAAAGGCAGTGAGGCATAAGCACAGACCTGCTGCATCTGTAGACTCACTGGGACTGTCAGCCTAAGTGCCCAGTTGGCATTGAGTCAGCCTGCATTCCTCCTGCTAATAGGAACATCATAATTTACCTAGAATGATAGTTGCTATTAGCAGTTTGTGGACAGAAAAGGAAGATAAGAGCAACACCATATCAAGTCAGTATACCCAAAAGAGGGATAGAAAGAGGGAGAAGGGATGGATGGATAGATGGATGGATGATGATGGATGGATGGATGGATGGATGGATGATGATGATGGATAGATGGATGGATGATGATGGATGGATGGGTGGATGATGATGGATGGGTGGATGATGGATGGATTGACTAAGAAGTCATTTCTTGCCTTAACAAGTGTTTTAAAAGGCAAGAAGTTGATTCTTACCTGTGATACAGGAAATACTTTTGAAATCAACTTAGCATGATGAAGTCATAAACAAGGTGGCATCTGATAGTAGCATTGTGGTGAGAACTGCCATGTGATAGAGTGGCTGTGAACATCGATACTAATTCATGAAATGGGGGGGTGGGATGGACATGAATCAAGGGTAGGTCGGAAAACAAAACTGAATGTCAGGAAGGTGAATGGGTGGGGGAGTGGAAAGTAATGGTGCGTTCTTGTCACACACCTTCATGCACTAAGCAGAATGAGACTGGAAATGATAGGAGTGGAGAAACCACACAGGTGGCTATAAAAACATGGGAGGAGGAGGATTTGCTTTGAGGTCCATGAGGTTTAGTTTAACAGAAGTAAACAGGTATAATCTTACTAGAGAACACTTCCTTGTGTGTAGCATCCATTACACTGTATAACCCTCTGTAACCAGTCTGATGTTTCTGAGGTGTTTTCAAGGCTCAGCCTGAATTATATTTTCAAAAGCATCCTTAGAGAATAATCCAATAAACGTAGTTTTTTAAACACTTGCTGTGTATGGATCTCCTTAAAGCTGATAGAACTCAAAGGGTTTGATGACAGTGTGTCTGAGGTCGCACAATGTTGGACAACAATATGCAGAACAGGAGTGTCATCCTTCATTTATTTCCTAGCAGACATACCGGAAGAATGTCCAGCAGATGATGCAATGTCTGATCCGAAAACTTGCCGCCCTCAGCCAGTATGAGGAAGTCCTGGCAAAACTCAGTTCCACAGCCACAGACCGGCTCACAGTTCTGAAGACCAAGCCACAGTCCATACAGCGGGACATCATGACAGTCTGCAGTGACCCTTACACGTTGGCCCAGCAGCTGACTCACATTGAGCTGGTAAGGCCCTATCGCCTTTGCCCATGGCAGCCACAGATTAGTTTGCTTTGGCAACGAGACTGTGTTTGCTGATAGAGGTCAGAATAACTCAAAAGGAAACAGTCCACAAAACAGCTGAAACATGTTTTGTTTGGGCATTTGGATATGGATGTCTCTGATATCCTGGGAAGTTACTCATGAACACATACTAAACAAGAGGGAAAAGCAGGGTTTGTTGGCCTTTATCTTTTGCCTCTAATTATTTTCCTATAACTGTTCATTCTTCTACTGTCTTATGAGACATTGCCTCCTTTCACATCTTGAAGATGAAGAAAGTATTTAGGGCTAATGCTTAGGGATGCTGCCAAAACTATTGGGAGGAAGTGACCATCTGTTTCTTCTCATTTTCTTTAATATTGTTGGCTTTTATTTCAGGAGAGACTCAACTACATCGGTCCAGAAGAATTTGTTCAGGCGTTTGTGCAGAAGGACCCTTTGGACAATGATAAGGTATCCGTATCAACTTGTTTGTTTTTGTGTTTTTCATTTGCTGTGTGTGATTCATTGTAGTTTTCTCTGGCTGGGTCTCTAAGTGCCTGTACAATAGTCTTACCCCATCACTTCCTCCTTATTGGGGAATTTAATAAGTCCTTCCTGGCAAGATACAAGTGTTTGTGGTGATGAAGGTAGATGATAAAAGCATAATGGTTTTAGCAGGTTAAGCCAGAAAGAAAATCAAAGAGAATGATCTGCCTGTGGTAGAGCAGTGACGGCAGGGGAGACAGGATGTACTTCTAGCTTGCCCAGCAGAGCTCTGCTTGGTCCTTGCTGTGAGTCCCTCGTGACAGCATGGTGGCAAAGCGCACACATAAAGAACATGGTACTGGACATACATTATACATTTCATGAACACATGCATGATTTTGTTTTCTCCCTTTTAGAGTGACCTCTAGAAGCATTTTGAAATGTTAGGCTATCTGTAGCTGCTTCACCTACTGATGAAGTCCCTCGGGGAGAAGAGGCAACAGCTGTTTCCGGCCTTAGACTAGTTGCTCTCAATTTGGGAAGTGAAGGGTCTGTTTTTCAGTAGGAGGCTAGCAGACTTCTTTGTTTGTGTCTTCTGAAAGGAAGGAAAGAGAGGTTAATGAACCTCTTCAAGCATGGCCTTGAACTCCAGGATAAGATTAACTTCTGCTTTTGAACAGTGTGTCATTCATCCTACTCACGAGAGTGAAATTTCCATTTATCTTTGGGTAAATGATGCTCCAACATTTTGTCTCCCATCTTAAGGTTAGGGTGGTGTTTCTAGCCCCATGTGCTCAGCCTCTCCTTGCTGCATTGGTAGCAATTGGTGTTTGCATCATATCTGAGCATGTGGCCCCTGTCCTAGTTACATTTCTGTTGCTGTGATATCATATCCAGATATAAGTAACTTAGAGAGAAGGGACTTATTTGGCTCACACTTCCAGATTCCAGAACACCACTGAGAGGAAATCAAGGTTGGAATCCAAGCAGCTAGTCACACTACACAGTCAAGAGCAGAGAAAAACATGCCATCATTTAAGGAGAAGTTTTATGCCCTTATTTATTCCTAGGATGAGGGGAGGGTGACATTTTTTGCTTTCATACGTTGCCTTCTCTAAAAAAAAAAAAATTGTACATCAACATGTTCATCAAAAATAAACTTTTATCATTAAAGGCAAAAGAAAAAAAATGGAGTAGAGTGAAGTAAAATACATCCAGGCCTGTTTAATTACTCCCTTCCTTTTCTATGCTGCCGGCCAGCTTTCGTCCCCCATACTGTTTAGCAACCCCTGCCTGGGGAAATGAGTGCCACCCTCAGTGGGCAGGAGTTTTCTACATCCATTAACAATCAAGACAGTCTTTCACAAATTTGCTCACGGGCCAACCTGATTTAGATAATTCCCCACTAAGACTGTCTTCCCATGTGATTCTAGCTTGTGGCAAGTGACAGTTAAAACTCACCAGCAAATGCTTCTTTGGAATTGAGGGTCTGAGGGCATATGCCACCCGAGAGTAACATAGTTTCTTGGGAGGGAAGAAGGGGTACTTCAGAGGGAAGGGTACTTCTGTGAGTGTATCAGCATGTATTCACAGACCTCATCTGTCTACATGGCTTTCTCTGTAGACCTGCTATAGTGAACGGAAGAAAACGAAAAATCTAGAAGCCTATGTAGAATGGTTCAATCGCCTAAGCTACTTGGTTGCTACAGAAATCTGCATGGTAAGACAATGCATTTTTTTTTCTCAAATTGATTATTCCTGCTTACTGTCTATCTGTTGGGCTGGTGTGCTGGGTAGCTTCTTGCATGCTCATTTTTCTTTTGCTTCCAGCCCGTGAAGAAGAAACACAGAGCAAGGATGATTGAATATTTCATCGACGTGGCTCGAGAGTGTTTCAACATTGGGAACTTCAATTCCTTAATGGCAATAATCTGTGAGTGTTTTTGTGAGAACACTACTTTTATGGGGCTTGGGAAAGGTATCCATGGAAAATCTTTCATGAAAACTGTACTCATTCTAATCCGGAGTTAATTCAGAGCATTCAGAATGCTTTAAAAGAGCCTAACTTAAGCCTGATCATTGAATACCTCAGGTCATTTCTCCTCCCTTAAACATCCATCTGTAAAAGCTAATGAGTGAGCCTGGCTGTGGTGGCACACACCTTTAATCCCAGCACCCAGGAGGCAGAGCCAGGAGGATCTCTGTGAGTTCTAGGCTAGCCTGGTCTACAGAGGGAGTTCTGGCACAGCTTGGGCTACACAGGAAAAAACAAAAACAAACAAACAAACAAAAATTGATGAGTGGAATACTTGTTTAAGTAAAGGATTGCTAGAAGTATTTTTGTAGCTTGCACTCCAACCATTATGGGCCTGTGGGACCTGAGATTAAATGCTACCATTTTGTCAGCATTAGCCTGAGGGATGACCTAAGAAACCAAATGTTTCCAACTGTCCATGCTCCTGTGACAACTGCAGCTCTCACAACTGCAGCCCATGCTCCTGTGACAACTGCAGCTCTCACAACTGCAGTCTACCAGGCCTCTCCAGTGTATCTCGGGGGTTGTAATGATCCAGAGCATGGTTCTTTCTACTCATTTTATTAACATAGACAATGGCAAATCCCTGTAGCTCCATCTTAATACTTGATGGCCATCCTCAATGCTTTAGGTACTCAGCAAAGATTTGCTTAAAAGAAAAGGAAGAGTTGGATTGTTTTGAAGCTAGAGAAATCTTCCAAATTTAGTTTATTAATACGTATCCTAATAAATCTCTTCACTAACCTCTCATTCCATTTTGTCTTCCCCTATAAAAACACTATGTTTGGCTCCATCAAAACAGTGGACATAGGGGCTGGAGAGATGGCTTAAGAGCACTGGCTGGGTTCAATTCCCAGCACCCACATGGTAGATCACTCTGTTTGTAACTCCAGTTCCAGGGAATCGATTGGTCATCATCACATAGACATACATTCAGAAAAACCCAATGTATATAAAACAAAAAATAGAGGAGGGAAGGAAGAAAGGATGGAAGGAAGGAAGAGAAAGGAGAGGAAATAGTGGATACAGTGATCATCTAAGTCCATGGCCCGGAAAGCTGATAGCCTCAGTGATAGAGGATTGCTTAGTTTTCTTTGCCCATCAATCAGAAAATGCCACAGCAAGCCATAGTATGGGAAAAAATACTAATTACATAGCTTACAAAGAATTTATATTCACAATCCACACAGAACCATGCAACCACACAAGTTAAATAGCTGGGGGATATTGAGTATATAAAACAATCATCAGAAATGAAATGAAGTCATAGTGAAGGGACATCTTATACAGGAAAATAAATTTAATTAAAATAATCAAAGCTAGTCACACCAAATATTGTCCAGGGTAAGGGGCACCTAGAATGCATAAACAGGGACAGCGGGAGTTTTAGATAGTCCTATTGCTTCAGTAACTGGCAATTTCTTATAAAGCTAATCATAAACCTACACTGTAATCCAGAAGTCCCAACACGGATATATTTGCCTCATCAAAAGTGAGTATGTCTACAGAAAGATTAGTGCTAAATGAAGCTCTAATCCTAATAGCCCCAGCTTGAAAAGAGCCCAAATGCCCATTTGCAAGTACACGATTGAAGAGACCGTGTTGTATTCATACAATAAGTGCTCTTGAGCAATAATGGTGAATCACTGAAACACATAATACCTGCATAAATTTCACAATCCTTGTGCTGAGCCTTCACCAGACCAGGCAGGAAAAAAGTATATGCAATATGAGTCCACTCATACCAAGTTCTAGAACAGAGAAAGCTAGTGAATGTCTGACAATAGGTGACCCTTGTCCAATGTTGTGAATTCTCTCAGGGGTGGGGTGGGGTGGGAAGAAACTGACCAGAAGAGGGTCCAATTAAGCTTTATGAATTATAGAATATTCTGTCATAATTTGAGTGGTGTGGACATACATGACCTTGTACACCTGTAAAACTCATCTGATTATACATTTAAGGTCTGTGTGCATGTCTGTGTTTTTCCTCAAATAGAAATCTCTTCTTGATATTAAACATAGACATACTGGTGTCAAGAAAATATGTGGACTCATTTATGTCCATGTGGACCCTTTTCCCACTGCAGTATCTTACCAAGTAGCTGTAGTTTGTAGATTCTCACTGGGATGAATATGACCTATGGAGTTGCATCAGTATATCTCCTACTGGGGCAGGCAGATAACATTGAGAAAATTCTACAGCCCTGGAACTTAGCTTATTATTATAGCAGTGTCTAGTGGGTATGTGAGAAGAAATACATAAAGCATGGATGGCATGTTAGGGGACAGAAAACAGGTCATCAAATTACAACCTGTGGCCCAGTCACCCACTGTCCTGTTTTGTTTATTTAATGACCAGTGAGTTTACCAGAGACCTAATATGTTGAAATGATCGAGAAAAATGAAAAAAAAATTCTGACATATGAATATAACATAAATTCAGTCTTTGGCATCTAGTCAAGTATGGAGTCTTCTGCCTTTCACACTAACATGTAGGAGATGAAGAAGAGGCTGTGCAATTCTAGTCTTGACTCCACAACCAAGTGCATCTAGTCAGAACCCCATAAGGCCTTGCCTCAGCAAACTAAACCAGACAGACAAAGCATAAAGCCCAGCATCTATATCTAGTGTTGATTGATTGCAGCAATGGCCATTTGTTTATGTACTTACATGACCGCTCAAGTGGTGCAAAGTGGCTGGTGGTGTCCTGGCCCCATGTATGGCCTGCACACCCTAAAATGTTTGCTGTCTTCCCCAAGAAATGTGCTCAGCCCTGTTCATGGCTCTGCTGCAACTGAGCTGAGGAAACGTTTGCAAGGAAATGTTGTAAAACATGAGGCTGTTAGCCCCAGTTGCAGAACTCAATTATCGATGCTTAGTAACATATGCTTTTTAGGAATCTAAGCTGGAATGACTTCTTACATCCCTATTTCCATTTTCTTCTCTTCATGTCCATTTTAAACGGGAAGCTGGTATGAATATGAGCCCGGTCTCGAGACTAAAAAAAACTTGGGCCAAAGTGAAGACTGCGAAGTTTGACATCCTTGAGGTATGTGAAAGTGGTGTTTTAGAGTTGAATGGAGAGAACATGCCTGTGATCTCAGCATTCAGGAGGCTGAGGCAGGAGGATTATGAGTTTCAGGGCTGCCTGGGCAGGATAGCAAGGCTCCTGGATGGAATTCCACTTTGTGATGCTGCTTCCTCATCAGATAGGATCATAAAAGGGAAAGGCGTTCAGATCCAGAGGTAGCATCGGGATTCTAACTGGAGTAGGGCAACATAAAATGGGATCAAGGCAGGTTCTTTTATGAACAGAGACGGGCATTTGGGAGTGATTGATGGAAGATGCTGACTTCACAGTCATGTAATCTTGTATGCCAAAATAGACCCAGAGTCCTGAACAGTAGAGAGGTCTACATTCCAGTTGGCCTTATATGCTTCTGTATAGTATCCTCATTGCCTTAAAATATTCATTCACCACTGTTGGAGCAAATTTGGTTAACCCGAACAGCCCTTCCTATGTAATTCTAGGTTTTGTGTGTGTGTTTGTGTGTGTGTGTGTGTGTTGGATAAATCATACTTCTAGTGAATTTCCTAACTTTGAATTTGTTCACATAGTTAAAGGCATGACCCTGTAAATGTCTACAGTAGAGAAATGAGTAGTTAATAATGTTGTCTTTCTACAGCATCAGATGGACCCTTCAAGCAATTTCTACAACTACAGAACAGCTCTCCGAGGGGCAGCACAAAGGTCTCTAACTGCTCACAGTAGCAGAGAGAAGGTAGGCTGTGCAAAGTGTACATTACTTGTAGACTTGCCGTGTTTTACACTGATGAGATGTGAATTACTCCCTGGGGCTGTTTTTACCAGCTCAGATCTAAGAGAGGTATTTATAAATATTTTATCCCTTGGTACATGAGGAAGGGGAACATAGAGCTATGTTGAGCTGTGGACAAAGAGAAGTGACTTGCACTACCAATTTTGCAATTGTGTATTACTATATTACTTGCATATTATATTTTTGATGTGTTCTGTAGTGTGTCTTAGTTGTATTTTAGGCAATGAAATTAAGTCACATGATAAGGTGACTAATAGCTTTAGAGAGTAATTTGGTTTAATAGAGAAAAGACATTTAAGTTCTGTATAAAGTAGCTTAATGAAACCTTTTCTTCCAAATGAATTAGCTTACCTCCCACAGCTATGTCATTTATTCTCAGAAAGTAGGTTAGTTTCCATAACATTAGGCCTGCTGTTACTAATTGGATATGTAGGTGGCATGAAAAATACAGGGGCAGTTTCTAAAAACTGTGTGATCCTGTCCCGTCTCCTACTCATTGGCACCACCCTAAATCTCCGGAGTACTGGACTCTGAGGGTCCCATTGGCTTATCTCTGTCTCAGTTCCTCACAGGAAGGACACATTGTCCGTCTTGCTGTTTGAGAAGTAAATGTTCAGTTATGATAAACAGCTAACGCTGATTTCTTAGTGACAGCTACCATCTATTTGAATTCTGCCCCCATGAGAAGTAAATGTTCAGTTATGATAAACAGCTAACGCTGATTTCTTAGTGACAGCTACCATCTATTTGAATTCTGCCCCCATGTTAACAATATTATCAACCAGTTTGGGAAAACAGGATTAAAATATTCCCCAGTTTCTAAGTCAGACCCCCACAGAATCGCCAGGCTTAAAGAACTAAGAAAGCTCCTCCTTCTAAACATGTGACACTTCTTCTAGCACAACTGAAATTCTGGCTCTGATGATGTCTGAGAAACAGTCAATGTATTAACTTTGATTTTCAAATGAGGAAACTTCCAGTTGCTTGAGAGTTTGTTAGGTTTTATATTTTTCTGAAAAGAGCTAAGCTGAAGTGGATTAAGTTTCCGGAGATGAACAGATGTGTGGGAGGACCCTGACATCCTGAAGTGAAGGATGCAGGGAGGCTGCGAGACCGAGTCACATCTTCCTGGGGTGGGTACCAGGTTCATTCACCACATGGCCCTCAGTGGATTGGTGGAGGGGGGGTATGGAGTCTTGTCTGTTAGGGGGCTGCTGCTCTGTCATCAGCCAGTAAGAGATGTCACTTGAGCAGCTCCACCAGCTGTTCCCAGAAAAGAAAGCAAACCTAGTTATTTACCCTTTATATCACCCAGTAAGTTCTGTCCACCTTTAAAAGCCAGTTGTGTGTAAATGTATAGACTGTACCCCGTAGCTGATAAAACAAGCATGATTACAACCGTTTGAAGAAGCACAGTGTTTTGTTTTCTCATAATTGGGCTCAAAAGGTAAGAAATGGAAACATGTCTGGTCAAATCTATTCTTTATTGAAAAATGAGATTATTTTTGGCCAAGAGAGCACTTTACTCCAAAGAAATGTCCCCTGTACAGCCAGGCAGCACATCTTGAGTAATGGGCTGTAATTTTTTCCAAATCTCAAGTTTGTGTGGTCAGAATAGCACATTTCAAGGTACCTATTGTGCAAAAAATAAAATCTTTCTTCTACACAGGAGTTCTTAAGTGTTCTCTAAATAGTTTTCCTCCCTGGGAGGACTTGTGTCTCTTGGTGTTTAACCATGCTGCATGTGATTACATGGTTTTCAATCCCCTTGCTATCCTATTTGATTCCGTAAACTTGGTCCTCTTCATTACCATCTATTTCTAGACTTGGAACTGATAATGCCTTAAAGTACAAAGACTGACTCTGAATCACTGATATTTGACTTTAAGGGACTAGAGGTTTTATGCCTACCAAGCAAGCACTCGACCATTCAACTATACTATAGCCCCAAATGCCATTTCACTGTTTTGTTTTGTTTTGTTTTTTTTTTGAGAAAAAAATCTCACCAAGTAGCTCAGGCAGGCCTTTGGCTTGCAGTCCTTCAGTCTTAGCCTCCCAGACCCAAATGAATTCAGAATATATATGTATGTATGTATGTATGTATGTATTCAGTATATGTGTGTGTATGTGTGTGTGTATTCAGAATATATTTGTGTATTCTATATGTGTATGTATAAGAGTGCTCTGTCTGTATGTATACCTGTATGACAGAAGAGGGCATAAGATCCATTATAGATGGTTGTGAGCCACCATGTGGGTGCTGGGAATTGAGCTCAGGACCTCTAGAAGAGCAGCCAGTGCTCTTAACTGCTGAGCCATCTCTCCAGCCCCAGAATTCAGAATATTTTTAAAGGGGAAATTTACAATGTAGATTTGGTAGAGTTCTTGGCTAGGGTGCACACAAACTGTCGAGTTTAGTTCCCAACACTACATAAAACCACAGGAGGGGGCCCATGTCTGAAATCCCAGCACTCAGGAGAATTAGAGAAGTTAGAGATTACCCTTGGCTACATAGTAAGCTTGAGGGCCAGCCAGAAATATATGATCCTACCATATGTGTGTGTGTGTGTGTGTGTGTGTGTGTGTGTGTGTGTGTGTGTGTGTGTGTATAGATATGGCTACTTGAGAACTTCTCCCACTAATGATATCGTCAAGACCTAACAGAATAAAGACTTATTCTCTTTATTTATCTCACAACAATCTGGAGTTCCTATTTTCTTCTCCTCTTCACTATTCAATTCATTGTGCAAACCTGGTGTGGACTCTCATGACTCTCATTGGCACGAGACACAGAGCAGTCAAGTGCCCCAAGAGAGGCTGGCTGTGTTGCCATGTTCCTGGAAGCAGAGCTTCTTGTTGGGGCACAGAGTGCAAAATTCACAGAAGAAATTCTGCCTCCCATGGTTTATAGGCTATAACAAGAACTGAGAAGTTAGTTTAAGTACCAACCCAAGACTGTACATGAGGCTCAGCCCAGCCCCAAGAACTGGAGCAGCATAGAAACGTCTTGCTTAAAAGCTGCTGCACTGTAAACTACTACCTCTTGATTTTCATTGTGTCTCTGTTTCCCTGGGGCTGTCACAGGGTGATGTGTGTTTATTGCCTTCTAAGTGCACACTCACTTGGATAGTGGCAGAAAGCAGACCCAGCCAGTGCTAGATGAATGAGCATGGCCATGCTCCAGAGAAACTTTGTGGTCACTTTCAGTTAAATTTCATATGATTTTTCATGTATCCTGAAGTTATTATTTTGATGCCCTCTCCCAGCCACTTAAAAATGTAAGGTATGTGTCTCTCAGGCCATACCAAAAATAACAACACATACATTTAAGACAAGACAAAATCCACAAACAAAATCCTTACGTTCAGCCAACCCCTGGCTTTTATTACTAGCCAGGTGTAGATTCAGTTTTTCAACTGATGTCTGTAGCCCAGCACTTCCCAGCCATAAGGCTTTCTTGGAAGAGGCAGTGTTTAAATTTGTCTTCCCCTTGCACTATAGAATGATAGTGCACACACACACAGACACAGACACAGACATACACACTCAGACACACACACACACACACACACACACACACACACACACACACACACACTCTGCTAATTCTGCTTTAGGGCCTTTATAGACAAGCACAAATAAAAGATAGTTGGGGGTGCTAATGAAGCTGAAGATAAAGTTGATTATTTTCAGAGATCAATGAAACAAAAATTTGAAAGGTGATTTGGCCTTTTGAAGATGCCTTCTGGGGGAAAATCGGAATTTCTCTCTAGAATTGAGTTAATACCTGCTGTTTGAGTGTGAGCCAAAAGGTTTGTTTTCACATTCATGAGTCATGAGCTTAGGAGACTTCAAAGACCTGATCTTGGGGTTTTCAGAATTTCCAAAAAATCTGTTTGATGCATTATTTACCTTGCAGAACTTTTTGATTGAAATACATTGCATTTGAGGAAAAATAAATTACTGTATCTGAACTTTGATCTCGGTTTGTGATGGGTGTGGTCAGACTTATGATAATTTTAAAGAATGTTCCTGTAAGTTAACCAGCTAAGTACCACCCACTGAAACCAAGGAATCAAGGCCAAGAAGGTATCATTAGAGAAGTGTACTGTTTTCTGAACAGTCGCATCTGTCTTGCAACAAATGGTGCCAAGTCCTTCCAAGGGGCTTTTCCAGGACAGCAGGTACTGGCTTGTTGTCTCACACAGCCAGGTTTCTTCAACAGGAAATTGAAGCAACTGTTGCTTAAAACCTTCAGCTGTCAAGTTATCTTGAGCAATGGCTTCAAGGATAAAATGCAAAACAAGAACAACTCCAAACAAACAAAACCCCAAAAAACAAAAAAGAAGGAAGAAAAACTTCAACTAAAATGTAGATGTCTAAATGACAACAGAGTAATAAGGAACACAGCAAGGGGATGGGCCCAGAGCCTTAGTGCCTTTAAGACTTTGCTATAATTTGGGGTTGCAAAATGAATAGAGTTCTCTTACATACTTTCATGTTGGCAAGAACCTTTAAATTTTACCAAGTTAAATATTGAAGAAAGTAAGTAAAACTGTACGGAAAGTATCCATCCACCCATCCACATGTCAAAACTGCTTGGGTACTGATGACATTTGTAGCTCGGGTTAAGCTGTGTAAGGTAGCAAGTGTTGTAGTGCGGAATGTACTGAATAGTGTACCCTTATTCATTGTGGCTTTCCACGTAATTCAAGTCAATATTGTTCATTAGTTGCTTCTATCTGTAACAAGAGGTAAAATATCTTATTTACCCAGACAACCCTGAATCTTTTTCTTTCTAGATTGTGATACCTTTTTTCAGTCTCTTAATCAAAGACATCTATTTTCTCAATGAGGGCTGTGCCAACCGCCTTCCAAATGGCCACGTCAACTTTGAGGTGAGTATAATAAAGTAGGGTACAGATATATAGAGGAAGAATCAGGGATGGTGGCACAGGCCCATAGTCTCGGCACTTATGAGGCAGAAGCTGGAGGATTACAAGTCTGAGGCCAGCTTGATCTTCCTAGTGAATTTTAGGGCAGCCAGTGTTACATAGAGAGAATCTGTCTCAAAACCTGAAAAACTGAAAGAAAAGCCAGGGTAAGAAATGAACACCACCAAGTAGCATAGTAGCCATGTCAGCCCTATCAGCACTGTCTCTTTGAGTAAATGTGAGTAAATCTTCACCTCCCTAGCTTGCAAATACAGTACTTATTAAGTAAAGAAGAGACAATGATTCTGGAGTTCAAAACTGGGTTTATTTCAAATGGAATTGTTATTTTGCAAAGCCCTTAATTTTTGACAATTGCCCTACAATTCTTTCACTCTCTTTCAGAAATTTTGGGAACTGGCCAAACAAGTGAGTGAGTTCATGACGTGGAAACAGGTGGAGTGTCCATTTGAACGTGACCGGAAGGTTATGCAGTACCTGCTCTCAGTGCCCGTGTTCAGTGAAGATGGTAAGGCCTTTAACTGAACCTGCCCTGAATATCTGTGCTTGGTTGCCTCCCACATAAGAAGCCAGACCTCTGAGCTGATCCACCCATTTCTTTCTCTTGCATGGAAAGTCTCATGATTTACCCCTAAAATGTTTTAATCAGCCAAGCATAGTGCATGTGAACATCCTTCCTAATGCCTGTTGTGCAAAGTGATGAGCATAAGTGGAAAGCTATTGAGGAGTATTTCAGAAAGTTGTGGAAAGTCTTGACCTGTTAAAGCACCAGGCAATAGAGGCAGAAAAAGGTTCTGCACAGGAAGATTCACCAGTAGATTTTGTAGAAGACATGGGACTTTACTCTACTGAATTAGTATATCCTCATAGTGTGTTTGAATTCATATTGCCTGTTGGGGTGGGGCATGGGGTGAGAGGACTTGATTGTTTTCATCCCTATAAATAAGATTACCAACAACATTTACAATTTTGAGACTTTCTTTATGATTTAAGCAACCCACAAGTGATTTTTATTAAAGTGCAGAGGATGCCAAGAAAGAGCCATGACCCTTTCCTTTCTAAAGAGTGTAAATCTGAATGCCTCCACAGCGCTGTATGGTTTGCACTGAAAGCTATTTGCTTCCTGAATTCTTGGTTCACTGAATGCCTTCTTAGCATAGAGCCTTGGGTTTTGTTGAGATGGCCAATCAGAAGCAAAGTGCTGTTCTGTGTTTTTCATAACTTGTGACTCAGTGTATCTGAACCAGTGCTGGAGGTTAGGCTCAAGCTGAACAGGTCCTCCTAGCCGTGGGGGCTAAGGTATCAGGAGAAGGCTTCAACCCTAACGCATTCTTTCCTTTGGTTGATTGTAGCTCTCTACTTGGCTTCATATGAGAGTGAAGGTCCTGAAAATAATCTGGAGAAGGACAGATGGAAGTCTTTAAGGTGAGTGGGAAATGTCGGTTGCAGCTCAGAAAGCCATGTTTGTGCCTTGTGTGGGAGGGCCCTGCCTACCCGCTCAGTTGCAGTCTTACTTATCTTCAGTTGTGGCTTGGGATTCTCATTGCCCTCATCTAGTTTTATTGCTTTTTATATTTTTTATTTTTATACTGGCAGGTGATACCATGCCTGTAGTTCTTCCCCTATCATGTAATAGAATATGAAATTGAGGTACCCCCGTGGTACAGTAAAACAAATTTTTTAAAAAAAACTATTTTTCTTTGTGTAAAAGTTCAGACTTTATTATTGAATAGTTCTAATAATCTTAAAGCTCTATTTGGGTGGGGCACCAACAAAAATACTTGTTAAAATTCAGTTCAGTTAAAGGTAGGGTATCACTTAGCAGTCAGATATCAATCAGCTCCCCCTCTGGTTTAAGAGAGAGACTCTGGATTTAAAATATAGTCAGCTATGTTATTTGTTTTTTTAAAGAATCAAAACAAAACTTTTGCTATTCTACTTTTAAACACACTCACAAGTGACCATATTTTTAGCATGTAAGGTATTTTAACAGGTAAAAGCAGCCAGGACATAATGTGATCCAGGATGGCCAGAAAGTGTTCAGGGCACCCGGGGAAGTAGACAAAAATCTGTGCAATAGCCCAGACTTACAACCTTGGCCCTCAGGAGGCTGAAGGGAGTTCAGGGGCAACAAGGGCTCCATGATATCTCAGAAGGACAAAGGAAAAGTTGGGAATTACTCCTTTAAATATGTTAGGGTGAACTTTGACTTCCACGTTTCTTCTTTGTAATTGCAGTCTTTTATTTTATTTTGTTGAACAAACATAGCCTTTGGTAAGGCTTGCTGTAGTAACTTTTTTTTTTCTTTTTGTAAATTTAAAGAAGTAGAGAGATCATTTCAATTCTGCAAGATATTCCGTATCTGAATTACACATGGAACCCAGATATATTTAAAAAACACAAGCCTACCCATAATTCTTTTATAGTTATCCTGTTGTGTTGCAATCTGGTAATTGGGTCATAAATTGAAGGCTCAACAAGAAAGACTGAATTGCACACTCTCTCCTCATGGCTCTGTATACTGTACACATAGTATAAGGTAACCAAAAGATTTAACATGGCCAAAGATTTTAATGGTGGAATTAGAAATATGATGTGAGGGAGGCCATGTGCTAACTGAATCCAGACAGCTGCAGGAATCTGTTCATAGTTGTATAAACTCAAAAATGTCCAGTAATAGTGTTTGTCTAGTCAGGGTGTGTTTGAGGATTGCAAGCACACCCCTAGAACCTTAGCTCTTGGGAGAGTGAGGTAATAAAATCACAAGTTTGAGGCTAGCTTGACCTGCAGAGGAATGAATTTGAGGCCAGCCTGGGCTGTAAGACATATCCCCGCCACCAGAATAATAATTGTACAGGCACCGCTGCTGCTGTGGCAGTCAGTCACTGATGAGGACACTCCCTGTGCACACAGTGGGAGGAGTTCTCTGGTATAAGACTGGTTTCTGTTAAAACTCTCTTCTGAGGAAGCCCAAGGAACAGTTTCCTCTCCATATCTAAGCCACGGGCTCTGTCTTTCCCAGAAATATCACCATAGCTTCTCTCTACTGCCTCCTCTCGAGGCAGAAACTGCTCTTGAAGGCACACTCCTCAGATGCACTTAGCTGTCTTGCCCATGGCTTCTCCTGCCCTAGCCACTTGAACTCCATTGTTCCTCAGCCCTGGTTCCTATGTTATGACTGAATGATGTTGGGACATTGCAGGTGCTGGCCACTGCCTAGCAACCATAGACAGGGTAAAAACAAGAAACTGAGCACCTATAAAACCATGTTAGTAAACTCTGTAGAATGACAGCTCCTGCCTGAAAACTCACCTGAACATTTGCTTTGAAGCATCAAGCTGCTTGTCCATGGACATTTTCCTATCTTCCCAGATTGAGACACATCAGTGCAGGTGTGAGTCCACATCTGAGGACAGACACCTTCCTTATCACCTACTTCAGGTGTCATAGAACATATTGTGAAAGTTGCCTTTATCTGCTGACTAAACTGTGCTGGCAAGTTTTATGTCAACTTGACATAAACAGAATAATTTTGGAAACCTAATTGAGAAAATATCTCCACCTGATTGACCTGTGATGAGTTTTCTTGATTGAATTTTGATGTGGAAGGGTCCAGCCCATTGTGGGCAGCACCAGCCCTGGGCAGATGAGCTTGAGTACTATTAGAACGTAGGCTGGGCAAGCCATGAGGGGTACACCAGTAAGCAGCACTCTTCTGTTTCCTTTGGAGCAAAGTCTGACCTCCAGATGCTTGCCATGACTTCCTTTGAGGATAGCCTGTGAAGCAGAAGTGTCAGCCATTAATAAGCCCTTTCCTCCCTAACTGCTTATGATCAGTGTATTTTATCACAGCAACCGAAGCCCCTAACTAAGACATAAACCTGTGTATCATGCAAGTGTCCCACACATAAAAGCTTGCTGCCATTAATGGTGTTGATTGTTTTGTTTTAACATGAAATTGCTCAAGATATTTACTATGAGCAATGCTTTGGCTCTCTCCATTAACAACTCTCTAAGGGCCTAGCAATCTACCTGCAGAACTACTACGACTCCCGTCCTTGATTCCCACCCTATCATTTCAACTCTGTAAAAATACATTTAAAATAGAAGAGAGGTGAGCACAAGCCAAGGCAATCTGAGCCAATGCAAATGGTCCTCTGCCTTTTGCCTTGCAGGTCCAGCTTGTTGGGCAGAGTTTAACCTGTGGGAGCTATTGCTGCTGCTATTGCTGCTGCTGCATCAAACAGACCCTGGAGGGTGTGGCCCTTGTTTTCTGGCATCTAGTACTAGAAACAATCGGCAGACCCTTCAAGCAGGCCCAAGTGCAGAGCAGATGGAAAACCCACTTCCTACAGCTGACAGATGGACTCAAGAGTTTTGAGACTGAAATGCTCACTGGAAGACACTTGAGAAAGAACCCTCTGAAAGTCCCGGCCTTGCACATGATTCATCTCCTGGAATTTCCACGTGAATCACAGCTGTGCACCTGGATGGAGTTTCCTTTTGTCTCTGTGTGTGGTTTTTTTTTTTTTTTTTTTTTTTCTTGAACGTTTGCTGCTACTAATGGAACTTAACCCAGCTGAGTGCTGGCTCCAGGAAGTCCATGTTTCTTTGTTAATTTAAATGAAAAAGGGAGAGGAGGGAGGGGACACCGCCTCCCACCCCACCCCCAGTTTGGAGCAGTATTCCCGAGAGGGCGAAGACTGGGTGGATACCCACTGCAGATGCTGTTCCCTTAGCGTGTGCAGGGTTGTGAACATCTCTTCTTCCTCTTCCTCCGAGGATTTGAGTTGGCTGCTGGTTGGCACACTCCTCCTTGCCCATATAAGTTATTTAATATAATAATGAAGCGCAACACTGTGGTAGGAAAATAGCCACTAGGAGAAAAAACAAAAAACAAAGTGGAGTTTGGCACTGTTGGACTACCCATCCTGCTGAAAGGACGGTGTTTTCTTTGCCCTTCTGAGCTGTTTACAACTGACCACTGTGTTCTATAGATGTATTTTTCAGTAGTTTCTGTTTTTGTTGTTATTAGTTTTCCATAACGCCCCATGGCAAAAGCCATGCTGTCACCCTCACCCCCATAAATGTAAGTGATGTTAAGGGTCTTGGGGAAAAAAATCCATGACATAACCACAATTGTTTATTTAACCAACTTATTTTTCATTATTTTCTGGAGTCTGTTGGTGACCAAACATGTAAACAAGGAGTAAACTGGAAAAGTTACCTCCTTCCCCATAGCAGTGAACAAAACAAATGAAAGGTTGTTGTTAACTCTATGATCAATCTAATTGTGAACTAGTTCGCCTGGTTAACAGCTAAATAGGCCTGTAGTTGCTCTGCAAGCAGCCATTCTATATACTCTAGGAGAAACTTTAGAGTAGTGACCCCAGCAGATGAAAATGCACAATGCCAAGTTCCAACCCCAGCTATGTCCTAACCTTTCAGATGCCTCCTTGAGAAACAGCATGTCTTTAGTGTGCATTGTCTCAACAGGCCTCAGCTGTCTCCAAGTTGTCCCTTTACAACGTCAATACATTTTACACTCTGCAGCCAAGAGTTGTGGTGTCTTTTTTTGCTTTTTAGATGGAATTTGGGTGGGTGGGCTTGTGCTCTATGTCATTTGACTGGTTCAAGATATGTGTATTCCTGAAGGAATGGTCTTAGGACTAAGGGCATGGATGGGAATTTGTGTTCTATAAAGAAATCCTAGCAAGCGTTTTTCAAATACTTTATAAGATGTTTAAACACAGATTCTGCCATTGTAATTCCCACCCTGTCCAAGACCACACAACTAATGAGAAGCTAGACCTTTTAACCCAGGGCATCCCAAGCTTTGTACCCTTGCAGATAGCCTGGGGAATCTTGTTTCCCTGAAGATTTTCAACCTGCAAGGAGTTGGACCCCTGTGATGCTGAGGTCCTGGATCCAGCTTAGACTCCAGGCTTCCTTGTCTCATGTGTACCTGCAGATTTAACATTGGCAGAAGTGACTGAGTAATGACATAGGAGAGCCAATGCCATTGAAAGAAATCTTAATTTCTTGAGAGAAGGGGACAGGACACACCCATGAGGACCAGAGGGGAATCACTAGGTACAGGAGACAGAAATGCAAGAGAGACAGAGCCCTGCCCCATAGGAAGGCTTCTTCAGGGAAAACATGGCAAGGAAAACATTATCACTAATTCCTGGGGCTTGAGGGTGGTCCTTAGGTTCTCTAGGAGGATCAAGACAGGAGAAATGCTATGTGGGAGTTAGATGGAGAGGGTGGGTGGGACACACTAGGTAGTGTTTGGTGGCTTATAAAAGGTGTTCCCTTCACCTAGACCGCCTGTCACCAGTTAGCCAGATCCTTAAGATGTTACAACATCTTACAGAAAAATTTAAAATGTGATGAACACAGCTCTGCAAAACTGTCCCTTTCTTTTTGAGCTGTCTACCCCTACCCTTCACAATTGTACTTCATCTGTTTATTGTCAGGGGTGGTCAGATCTAGCCAGCTACTTGTTTCTTATGACTTACAGGTAATAGCTTGAAAAACTCAAAAGAGGAATTATATTTTCTGACATATGGAAATGATGTAAACCATAAATAAAGATTTAAGGGACCAGCCATTTATGTGTTTCTTTTGTGGCTGATTTCTGCTACAACCGTAGTGTTTTAGTTGTGGCAGAGACCATATAGTCCCAAAGCCATATATTTACACTTTATCCCTCTATGAAAACTTTACCTGATCTAAGGAGTTCTTTTGTTAAAGTTTTCAAAACTGCTATCCTTGTGACATTAGATACCTAGGTATGGCCACTGATTTTTTTTTTTTTAAGTGTTCTTAAGTCTGGAAATGTGATTCTAAGGTGGTTTAAAGAGAGGACTATGTTTTATTCTCCAGGTGAGCTAGAGGTTCAAACCATGTGGGAACTTTTATGAAATCTGAGTATTTCTCCCATTTGTGCCCCTTGAGTATGTGGCCATCACAGCAGTTGAGTAGATACATTTACAAGTTGTATAGCTGGCTGGAAGCCTTCAGAAAGGCAAGCGTAAACAGCTCCAGGCAGTGTCCCTGGTTCTGTTGAGGCTTGCCAGCCACACATGCCAAACCTGTGGGGCTTTGAACTGGGGCCCAGCTGAGATCTGGCAGAAGATGGTGTAAGTAGATAACAGGAGCATGTCTGTCACTACTTGAAATAACCCTTGCTTTTGAGGACATAGCCCAGTTCAGTAGGGGATGGCCTGTTTTCCATATCTATCAAAGATACCACAATTAACAACCTGTTTTCAAGTTTTCCTTGGAAGGAAGGTTTTGCAAATTCGACTTCCCTTTTACAGAGCTGGAATCTGTTGTTTCCAAGTCTACCTCCTTCCTAGCACATTGGGGGACATTCCTGTTCTTGCTGCTGTCCCCTGCTCCTTGTGTAAGGTCTCCAATGTTAGACGTTCAGCTGCTCGAGTACATATCAAGCTGTAGACTATGAGTGGTCTCCACCATTCACAGTGCCTTCTGCTTCCCCTGTGCTCCTCAGTACAAAGCAATGCTTGCCTGTGTTCCAAAGCACCTTCGCCATCCTAAGGGAAAGAGAATGCCAGACTAAGGATAAAGCAGCTTGGGCCAATTTTCTGCTATAGCTAAGGGTTCAAAGGAATTACTGAATGTATTTCCTGAATATAGCGACCTGGAAACTACTGACTAAACATAAAAATCAAAGATATGGCAGCAGTGAGTCCACTGGCTTTATCTACCCTTCAGAAGTGGGAAAGGCAAAGCTTTGGCCAGACTTTGGCTTCTAGAGATGAATGGAAAAGTGAGCCCCTTCTGGATACTTCAAGCTAAAGGGTTTTGTGTTTGTTGGTTGCTTGTTGTTGCATGTGTGTGTGTGTGTGTGTGTGTGTGTGTGTGTGTGTGTGTGTAATTAGATGACTGAAGATTACCTTAGTTCTCTGCTTCATGTGATCAAGGTCACTGGACTGAATTCAGTGTTGACAGACATGTTGTAGTTGAAGCCTCATGGTTTAGGAACTGTCATTCAAAACTGAAGACTTGTCCCTCATGTTCTCTTCCCTCCTCTTGACCCCTTCTTTCTCCCAACTCCCTTTCCACTCACTGCCCACCCCCCTTCTCCCAATATGATCAGGAGATCTTGTCCCTTTCCCCTTCTGTGGGGGACCTTGTATGTCTCTTTTAGGGTACTCCTTGTATACTAGCTTCTCTGTTGGTATGAATTGTAGGCTGGCAATCCTTTGCTGTATGTCTAAAATCCATGCCAGGAAGATTGAGTTGGGGGAGGAGTAGAGGAGAGGAAGAAAAGAGATACCATAATAGAGGGAGCCATTATAGGTTTGAAGAGAAAACTGGCACTAGAGAAATGTCCAGAGACCTACAAGGATGACCCCAACTAACAATTTGAGCAATAGTGGAGAGGCTACTTTAAATGCCCTTCATTGATGATGAGATTGATAACTACCTTATATGCCATCCTAGAGCCTTCATCTGGTAGCTGATGGAAACAGAAGCAGATACCCACAGCTAAACACTGAGCCAAACTCCTGGAATCCAGTTGCAGAAAGGGAGGAGTGATGAGCAAAGGGTTCAAGACCAGGCTACTAAAACCCACAGAGACAGATGACTTGAACAAGGGGGAGCTCACGGACCTCAGACTGATAGCTGGGAAACCAGAATAGGACTGACCTAGACCACCTGAACATTGGTCTCAGTTAGAAGGCCTAGACAGTCTATGAGACCCCTGACAGTGGAACCAGAATGTATCCTTGGTGCACAAAAGGACTTTGGGAGCACATTCCCATGGAGGGATACTTCCTTAGTCTAGAGACATGGGGGGAGGGTCTAGGCCCTCCCACAAATGGCAGATTTTGATGATCCCTCCTGGAAGGCCTCATCCTCCCTGGTGAGTGGATGGGGAATGGGATGGGGGGACATGGGAGGATGGGAAGGATAGGGACCTGGGAATGATATATAAAAAAAGAATAAAACAAAACAAACAAACAAAAACTGCAGACTGGCTCTATGTGAAATAGAGCAACACTACAGTTCTGTACTTAAGAACCAACGTGTTTTAGAAGATTCTTCCTCCTCCCTCCCTCCCTCCCTCTCTTCCTCCCTCCCTCTCTTCCTCCCTTCCTCTCTTCCTCCCTTCCTCTTAGTTCAGTGAAGAAATTCCCAGGTAACTGATTCCCTCTTAATACTGGTAGCCAGCCATAGGCGTCACTCCTGCACTCAGCGAACCTCTGCCTTCTTTCTACGCAACTGTGTATGCGTAGTTGGCAGTATGTGGCAGCTCTTAGAATGCTGTCAGCTGTGGCCTTGTCCACCTCAGCCCTTCTGGAGAAAAGTGTGAAGACCCTGATTGAGGGACCTGAAGGAGGCAGACACTAATTAGAATAAAGAGTGAAATTACAGTTACATGCCCCTCAGGGGACGCCACACTTGCCTTCTACTGTAGCCAGAGTTTGCTTTCTTTCCCTGTCCACCTACACTGCTTGGGGAAAAGAACGTGTGAGATCATTTGTCTCTTGATGACTCATTGTGGGAAAGTAAGTTTAGTAGAAGGTATTTTCAATTCTGTTGAGACAAGGTGGTTGGAGGACCGGCATTGTGTTTTGTTTCTTTCAAGTGATGAAGAATCCTGAGTGCAGATGGGTGGTGATATGGAGATAATGTGTGCTGGGTAGACATCCATATGGGAAAGACAATGATTAGTCTGGTTACCATCAGGGAGTCACAGATTTCATTTGCTTTAGTTAAATAATTAACATATCTAGTGTTGGGAAATTAAATCTAAGTGATTCTAATGTAACTATCATGGGTGCCACTGCTCCGACAGAGACTGGCAAAGAAAACCCAAGCTAGTGTGTATGTGTTTTAAAAATGGTTAAATTGTTAATACTCCACAGTGGTCATTAGTACATGACTTTAAGTCCACCCTTAACAATACCCAGCAGAGTGACGGATACAGTTTAGGGCTGTGGGGTAAGTGTGAAACACCTTCTAGGCAAACACTGGGGCAGGACTGAGGAGTAATCAGTGAGCCTCACTCCAGGCAGTTTCCAGGGACTGTGGGGATGTTCCCGCCTCTGAACTTGAAGATATCTTTGTGAGTAATGAATGGGTGGGGACTAACTGAAGCGGAATGGACAGTTGAGGGTCTAATGCTCTTTAGACTGGACTTCAAAGGAGAATTAGCAAGAAGCTGCAGCTTTGTGTTTTGTTTAATTGTGTTTGTAGAGGGGAAGGGTGGGAGATTAATCGCTGCTACTGGGCAGCAGACAAAGGCATGGCAAAAGCTCTGTTCACCCCTCCAGCTGCATGCCACGAAACAAGAAGAGTTCTTCATAGAAAACAGTGGTTGTTACCCAGCCCAGAAATAGAAAACAGGCGTATGCAAGGCCCGTTCTATAATTTCAAGGTGCTAGACAGAAAAAGCACAAGGACTACACAAATGGCTTTTTGTATGGAATTCATCTATTGTCACAGAAACTGTTAGAAGTGAGCTCGGTAATATAGATACATAAGTAAAAATCATAAAGTGCCTGTTCACACC